TAGATAGATAGATAGATAGATAGATAGATAGATAGATAGACAGACAGACAGACAGACAGACAGACAGACAGACAGACAGACAGACAGAAAGACAAGATAAGATAAGATAAGATAAGATAAGATAAGGGTTGACAGGAAGTTCTCCAGCTGGACAAACGGGGGTGTGGGCTCTGAAGAGCCTCACATGAACCCTGTCTGTCAAACCAACTCCGAGATCCTTTTTGGATCAGAACCCACCCCAGAGGAGGGGGGCGAAGAAGGGCAGTATCTCAGCAGATCCAGAGGGAGGCAACAGTCCCTTGTAGGTCGAGATTTGCCAAGTTATTGTCAGGCAGCGGTACAGACCTAAAACCCTGATTTGGTGCATTGTGTTTTTTGGTAGCATAAATCTGGCTTAAGTGTACCATACCGAGATGAAACTTAGTTATAAGGTTTGCAGCCTATGTGAAGCAAAATCCATGTGTAAACCATGGATTAAGATTTAGCATGCGGTGTGAACCCAGGCAATGCCTGACAATAACTTAACGTATTGTGATATGTGAATGATGTAATTTTCCCACTGCAGAGTCACTCAAGGAAAAGGTGTGATGCCTGATGGTACCAGCCGATTCTCCTGCAAAGGAAAGCAAGTTCTCCACTTCATGGGAACAAGCACCTTCTCAGAATACACAGTTGTGGCTGACATATCCCTGGCAAAAATAGACCCTTCAGCTCCATTGGACAAAGTCTGCCTGTTGGGCTGTGGAATTTCTACAGGTTATGGGGCAGCCTTGAACACTGCAAAGGTAGGACACCTGCTTCCTCTCCATTATTTTTCTTACAAGATCATTTTAATCCTTTTTTTTTAAAATTGATATTTATATATCCTATTTAGACATCGCCCCTCATAGAGCAAATCTGGGCGGTGATTATAATATAACACAGTGAGTAGGGAAGTGTTTCTCTTTTTTAAAAATAGTTTTTATTAATCATTTTAACCTTTAAAAACAGAAAGAAAAACAACAACAACACATACAGAAAAAAACCGAGGCACACATAACAATATAAAGTAGTTTTACAGCCCTCTGTATCGGCTTACATATTTAGCTTTTATAATTCTCTATTCTACACTGTCTTCCTATTGGTTTTAGCATCTATAATAGTGTAGTAACAGTTGTACTCACAGTTGTAACAATAATAATTTGTTCATATCACCATTTTATTTATATTATGGTCAATACTTTAAGTTTGATAGTAATTAGTAACTTTGGTTAATTTTTATTCAATACTAGTTTAGAAAAACAAAACAAAAAAAGACTTCTATTTCCTGTTTGGGCTTCTGTTTTCTAGCCACTTATACTTTCTATTCCGTATTTTATAATAATCCAATTCTTCTCTTTCTTTTAACTCTGCAAAGGCTACTTTACAGTAGCCTACAAAGAAAACCTCTATAAAATGTTTTATAGATGGCATTTGCCCCCAGCGAGATTGGCCAAAATGTATCCAAATCTATCCCCCAAATGTTGGAGATGCAGCCACATGTCTGGAACACTCTACCATATGTAGGGGATGTGCCCCATCACAAGGAAATACTTGTGTAAAATTCAGAAGTGGTTGGAAAAAATTATGGAGCAAAAGATAGAACTAAAATTGGAATTGTTCTTATTAGGAATATTAGACCCGAAAATGGACAAAAAAATCTCAATTCTACTCATACTCACTGCAGCTAGGATTGCTTTCACACAGAACTGGGAACAAATCAATACACCCACAGTCGAAACAATAATTAGAAAGGTACCATGGAGTTAAGGACAGTGTTTCTCAATCTTAGCACTCTTAAGAGGTGTGGACTTGGAGGAGGTGGCACTGGCTCTATAGGAGTAGAAGGCTGAATTTTCCTCAGTTATTGTTTGTTTTAATTCATTCTTTCTCCTGCCTCTTTTATTTTACGCAGGTAGATTAGTAATGCATGACAGCAAACCAGCTATTAATCCAGGTTAAGGTGACATATAAAGCCACGGCAGGGTAACTAAACTAAGAACAGATCATGGCTATGGGTTGAGCATAATGCTTTCCGTATATTTTCCTCATGGCCCAGAGTTAGAGGAAACCTAACCAGAATATAGCTTAACGTGATACATGAGTCTACCCAAATTAACTTTAAAGCACAAGTTAACGTTTGTCAGTTTTAAAAGCAGACTACACCTTGGCTTAGTTTCCCTGTGTAAGAATTGTTTTCTGTAGCTTTCTTTCCCACGCCATTCGTTCAATTGTCACATTTTCTTTCAGGTTGAACCTGGTTCTACCTGTGCCGTCTTTGGCTTGGGTGGAGTTGGGTTAGCAACTATCATGGGCTGTAAGGCAGCGGGTGCATCCAGGATCATTGGGGTTGATCTCAACAAGGACAAATTTACCAAAGCCATGGAATTTGGGGCTACACAATGCATCAGCCCCAAGGATTTCAAGAAGCCTATTCAGGAAGCCCTGGTTGAACTAACAGATGGTGGAGTAGATTACTCCTTTGAGTGCATCGGGAATGTCGGTGTGATGGTAAGCACAATCTGAGGCCTCTTCTGTGGACCCACCAGTTTTATTTTTATTAAAGCTGCTTCTACATTTAAAAAAAAGTGAAATGGGAAGATGGTATGTTACGAAGTATGGGTCTCTAGTGTCATCATATTTACAAGGATATTTTTACAATATTGTGATTGTGCAGTATCTGTACTCATGCCTTGCTTGTAATTTTTTTCCACCTCCCAAGAAAATAGCCAATGGTAAGCTTTGTATTGCTAATCCTTTGGCTATGGAATTATTATAGCACTAGACTTATATACCACTTTAGAGTGCTTTACAGCCCTCTCCAGGAGGTTTACAGAGTCATTATATTGCCCCCAACAATCTGGGTTCTCATTTTACCAACCTTGGAAGGATGGAAGGCTGAGTCAACCTTGAGCTGGTGAGATTCAAACTGCTGGTAGTCAGCAGAATTAGCCTGCAATACTGCATTCCAACCACTGCGCCACCCCGACTCTTATTAACTGTTATTAACTCAGAGGTTAACTGAGAATCTGCTAAATATTTGTTTTGTGATTGGCCACAATCTTATGTTAGCTATTTTACAAGAGCATGGAAAATGTCTTTTCAGAATTCTATCTGTGCCCTCTCATTGAGCTATGGCCTTTCCTGTTTCTTCTGTCACCTCAATATGTTGCCTCCTTTTCCCTTCTACACTCAACAGAGAGCAGCCTTGGAAGCATGTCATAAAGGTTGGGGAGTGAGTGTGATAGTCGGAGTTGCTGGCGCTGGTCAAGAAATTGCTACCCGTCCATTCCAGCTGGTTACTGGACGAACATGGAAAGGGACTGCTTTTGGAGGTACAGCTGTGCTGGGATACAACATTGATATTGCTGAGCTGGGACCTTTTCCATTGCCAGTCTAGCTAGTACTTGGAAGTTGGAACTCCAGCATCTGGAGAGCTCCCCCAGCAAGGACTGTAGCATTTCAGTCCCACCCTCTCTTTATTGAAAAGTAGCCGATAACCCGGCATTGCCTGGGTATTTATTTATAGGGGGGAAATATCTGGACCAAATTTGGTAATTTCTAATGTTGGATTTTCCTCCTTACCAGAGGGAGCCCCCTTATAGAGTACTGTGAAGCCGTTACCATGGGAACTCCACTGTGCTGTACAGGAGAAACCAGTATGGCACAACAGGCTGTATTTTAACAGAATACATACCCCAAGGGGTATTAGGGTTGTCTTACCCCCCATTGTATTTTTCTCCAGAGGAGAAGTCATCTGTGTACCAAGTTTTGTTGAAATTGCTCAAGGTGTTCCAGTTATGCTGGAACACACACACACATACACACACACAAACACACAAACATTTTTAGGTAAATAAATAGGTATGTATGTAAGTAGGTAAATAGGTAGGGAGATAGAAGATAGATAGATAGATAGATAGATAGATAGATAGATAGATAGATAGATAGATAGATAGATAGATAGATAGATAGATAGATGATAGATAGATAG